AGGGTATATAAATCAGAGCGATTGGGTCTAGAATAGGGTATAATTTTTCACAAAACTGATTAGTTAGTTGAAGATTTTATCTAGACTAAGCTTAAGGAAACCGGGAATTGCCACTCAAAAATATAAAAAAATCAAATCGGCAAGTTTAAATTTACGCAAATAAGACTAAACAGTGTCGATAGATGGGGGGATTTGGGGAGTTTACTCTAGTATAGGGTAGCAATATTCAGCTGAACTAACTCTGGTATAGGCCAAGGGTCCCAGGATCCCAGCGGCACATCCCCACCCAAAAATTCTCAAAGTACCCCCCCCGGGAAAAGGGTACACAAAATTAATTCAATCGTATGTCTATAGTGGAATTAATGTTCGAGCTGGAAAGCTAAATTGACCAACGCCATTTCTATTTATTCATTAAATTTCACTCGCTTAAATGATGTTACCCATTTCGTAGGCGCATATGATATCAATGAATGCTTCACAAAAACTCACCTACGTCATGTGATAACGCGTATGGTACTACACCACCCGGCCAAAGTCCATTACCCAGACCCCTCACAGCTGAAGATTCCAAGGCCTCTTATTGCTGTGGGCTTAGTAATATGTCTCCTTGATACAAACCTTTCACTCCGTTATTGTCTTTCGTAAAAAGAATGTAAGATGACATCAATGATGTGAGCGTCATCGTGCAACAATTATTTCAGGAGCGTGCGTTGGATGTGGGTTGGATTTTATCATCTCATTTCCAATAAGCGCTAATGGAATAATTGTTTTATTAAAAACGCCCCCAAAATATAGAAATCCAAACTAAAATAAAATTATAAACGCCCCAAGAAATCACGTGTACGCTTTAGAGCATGGTATAATGGCTCAAAGCCCAAGATTGCTAAGCCAATAAAAACTCTTGAATTGCTTTGATTCTCCAATGATTAAATTCTTAATAATTTCATGTATAGTGCTCGATGCAAACGGGCATGGATTACAAGAAAAAAACAAGATTTGTATACTAGGGGAATATTTTTATTTTTTATTTATTATTAGGCCATCCCCTTTTTTTTCTCTGTTTAGCGTCGTCCGACCGACCCAGATTTTCGCGTTTTCAAAAAAAAAAAAAAAAAGTTACACAGAAGGCAATGAAGGCAATGACACATTATTTCAAACAATTGTCACTTAAATCTGAAACATCAGCAATTTTTTGCCTTACAGATTTTTGGTTTTTCCCTGTTCTCGTTTGATTTTAACAACGACGTCGACTTTTTCCTTCCTCCATTGCCGCGATGTTGACACACCTTGTTGTTTCCAGGCTCCACGGATATTATGCTGAGGTACCGGGCCTCCTAGCTCCATACTCCTTTTCCAATTTTATTTTTGTTTGTTTTTCCTTTTCCAACCGACCGACCCAAAATCAGAAAACGCATTCGACAATAAACGAAAAAAAAAAGAGGGGATGGCCTTATTGAAAAAGAAAACTGCAAGACTGGTGAGAAGCACTCTCCTGACTCATAAGACTTCTTTACCGTTTCACTTAAGTATTCCTAAGTAGTCTTAAGGCTAAAATAGAGCCAATCGCATTTTGACGTAGTGCACTTTTCCAGCGGTTGGTAACACGGCTTTTCTTCTTAACTTTTAATTGTGACTGGCTCACAACATTATGTCTATCTGCTACAACTTTCGTAGGGAGAATGCTATGGCGTTGAATGTATGACGGCTTGACGACGTTGTATATTTTTTGACGGTATATTAGTACATCATTCTTCATGTTTCGCATTCTTGTGTATTAATCAAGAACAGAAGCTTTAGAATTTAACATTTGAAAGTTGACACTATAACGCAGAAAAGGTTCGTCAGGTAACTAATTTGTGTTTATTGTGTAATATCGAGAAGTACGATTGCTCTTCTTTCTCCATTCTTTTTAGTACTCTTTCTTATAATTTCTCATGGAATAGAATAAGCTCAACTGTTACGTTGTACTTTTCCTTGCTCCAAGCACGCAAAAGGTGCCCGAGTTCACTGGCCCAATAAGCATCCGAGATGAAAACTATAGTTGTACCAACGTTACAATACTTTTGCTTTTTTGGTTTTATCTGTCCCAAATATTGTTTTCCCTTCAATAAGTTAGAAAGTGCCAGTATATGTTTTCAGAAGATTAAAAGAAAAACAGAATTTGAAAAGAATGATACATTTAAGCTGTAATGAGTTTTGAATCTGCACAAGTTGCTGATGCTTTGTTTAATGTATGAGAAACCTAGAAAAAGGTTCTGCCGGATAAATGTTAACTGCGAATTTGATTAAGAAAGAAAGAAAATAATCTTACCCTCGGGAAGGTTTCCTACCGATAGCTGCACACTAACGAAAAAAGTTACAATCATAGATAAAAGCTTCATTTTCGCTGGCTTCTACTCGGCTGGTGGCGGAGTAAAGACCAAGGCTGTCTAAACATACACGTAGTTGTTTTTTTTCTTTTGTTTGTTTGGAATTTTGCGCACCGAGAAAATCAAAGAGTTTAGCTACAAAATACCTGAGCAAATAGATATTCCATTACAATAACATTTCCATTCTTTGTTTGCATTTGGCGATCTAACACCGAGTTGTTTAAACAATTTCAGGTCATTATGTAATTTACGTGCTTACTTTTACAGTTACGAAAAGCTTTCTGAGGAAATTAATTAGAAAAAACTCCGCTTAAGACTTGATTCACGTGCACGAATTAGTGGTTTTATTGTTGTAGTGGTTTTAACTTAAAACGCGTCTTTCATTTCTTTCCGAGAATTCTCAAAGGAGCTTCACGCACAATTCTAGCTAGGCTGGACGCTCGACCTATTGACGGGTATCAAAACTCATTTTACAATTCGTTGCGTAATTCCTAATTCGACATCAATAAAACCTTGATCATTCATTGGTAATTAGGTATATCAAAGATCTAAGCAAACCACGACAACAGCTATTACTAGGACCTTGCTAAAAGAGGCTTAACTGACCATAATGACATGCGTAAGAAATTACAGATTGTACGTGAATCCGATGGCAAATAGCTTCCTTAAAACTTGAATTCTGAAGAACTTATGAATAGCAAAGTTAAGAAATTAGAAAATGGATTGCAGTGACCTAATTTGAGACTTGTAGCTGTCTTAGAAAGCGTCCAGTTGCGTTTTTAATTTTCCATGCACTTGTCTATAATATTTTCTGCGAACAAGCTCGTGCCACAGAAAAGAAATTCTAAACAAATGTATGGAAGACTCAAAACGCGACTGGACTCTTTCAAACACTGCTCCACCTCTCAAATTTGGTCAGTGAAATTTTTAGCTAGTATTTTAACTCTGCCATTCATAAATTCTTCAAAATTCTATTTTTGAGAAAATTATTTGCCATCGCGTACCCATACAAACATTGTAATATCCGTGTTCCTTACCACCCGTCAAGATGGCTTCCAAAACAGTACGTAATAAGGTCCATGCCAGAATAGTGTAATTTCAATAATCGTGATCATAACTGCTAAATCAATTTAAATTTTCTCTTCCATTACTCCACATTACAACATATCCGCTTTTCCATTTGTGTCATGCTGTGAAATTCAGACGATTCACGGAAAATAATTTGTAAGTTTATTTCGGCTTCCTTTCATACGATGGGCAGGAAGAAGAATATTAAACAGCCAAACATTAATAAACAATGTTATATCTTTATTTCTTTCTTTTTTTTTTTCAAAAGGAACTTCACGGCGAGATTTTGCAGTCTATACCTAAAGGACGAAATTTAAAAGCGAATAAATTTTAAGACAGGCTCTGAGTTGCATTCAAATGTAATCTGTGAAACGGTCCTACACATTCTCAAAATTTAATCGGAGAGATATTGTTAAGAAGGTAATTCAAATGAAAACTTAGAAACTCCTTCTGTCAAAATACCCTCAAAACCATGTATGCGTAACAACTTCGAATTATCGGAAATAACAAAATCAATATGTGTAAATATTCACTGAATACGATTAAAAAAGATCTTGTACAACAAACGCAAGTAGTAGCTTTTAACTGAAAAGAGCTTTGTTTACATTTTTTCTTCGCTTGTTTTCTATTACTTGACAGCGGTTTTGAGCCACCTGTTTATTTGTGAGTGGTTAAATTGGCTTTTCTATGCATGTGGGACTTCCCACGGTTAGAACCAAGCTGTCTCTGGAAATTTCATTCGAACTTCATGCTGTAAAGTAATCAGCGCTTAGGTTTTGTCGAGAACTAAAGTCATTTGATGTCTTGGAAAAATTTCTATCGGCGTTTTTTTTGATTCGCCGAGCTTGTGCTTTTGACACTCGAGGAGAAAAGCGTCTCTTGCCAGAAGCGATCTCCAGGATTCCCTGTTCTGTCAAAATAAGAAGTAAACATATTTGGACCACTGGATTTAACAGACGCCTTCGTAAGGTGAGATTTCACGGAATGTCATTTCAATTTTGCCTTGTTTACCAAACTTAAGGTAGCTCGAAATCACGAACCTGGACTGAAATGGATGTGCCTGAATCGAGCAGTAATTACTTCTCTCCACTGAAATAAAGCAACTGCAATTGAACAAATAAAACGAACTTTCGTCTAAATCGATTACAATTGCCTTAGCTAGAGTTAATTGTTTTGCAATATTGCGTGGACTGAAATTGTTTTTCATGAAAAATGGTCAGATATCAATACTAAGATTTAAATTACAAAGCTTGCAGTGTCCCGTACTAATGGAAATGATATTATCTTAAACCTGTTTGCTTTAAATAAACAGATAATTTCAAAGTCATGTTACCGGTAAAAAAAAGTCAATTTCCAACTATTTCTTTAGTGAAAACTGAAGTGTTTTTGACGGCATGTTTTAAGACTTCTCCGTTAATTAATTTTAGCGTAGTGACTTCATAACTCATATATTTGAAGACCAAGGGAAAATGGTTGTTTTTGTTCAAGTTTTTTTAATGAGTTACTGCCAAGTTTACCAAATGATTACAATTCAATTTGTCGACTTCCTTTTGTAGAATTAATCGATCAATACCAACATTCGATTCGAATTATTATGACTATTGGCAACAAAATATAACACCCGTGAGAAAAGCCGACCAGGTTAACTTTCACGTTTTAAGTTAATTTCGTAAATAAAGAAATTACAAACATGTCAATATAATATTTTCAGCTTACACTTAATGTATAATTTGTTACTCTGAACAGCTGTTGCAGACTCTTCAGCTTTAAATAAATCGAAATAAATCTACTGCTATCTCTGAACATCTTCAAAGAGGAGTACAGTATCACTCATGTCGATTTCAAGCACATTCCAAATTTCTTACAAATTTAAGACAGTTTAATTCGAAAAGTACCTGTTGGATTTTTACGTAAAGGCGTGGACGTATTTGAAACAGTTTCTTCCGTGACAAGGAAATCAAATGTTCCTTTTGGATTAAAGACAAAACATGTAAAAATTAACTCACTATTTACACAAATCTACTGCGACTGAAATAACTGACATATCGTGCTAAAGCAATATGAAAGGGACAAAAGTTAGTAATAATTTCAAAGCAAAATCTCTTTTCTGAGTATCGATGCTCGTTATCAACGCTGGGGAAAAATAAATAACAAGTCCTTCATCCACCATGACGTAAGAGTATTATCCGTCTGCCTTCGAGAACTACTTTCTTTACTTTCTGGCATAAGATTAACCGTCAAAATGTTGATTACTATTTAGTCTGTATCGACAGGAAACTAAATATGTGCTTTCAACTAAATCAGTTTGGCGAGACACCCCATTAAGTGTAATTTCTCAAGAGTAATTTCTAGGTTATCGGTGGTATATTGTCTGATTTCACTCACTTATATTGGTTAACCGCAATGAGCCACAACGAGAAAAGACGACCAATATTCTGAAACGATGGATTAACCTTGACTCTAGTAGACTTATTAACTTGATGTTTACTTCGTGTTATCCTATGTTATTTTTATATCAGACTTGCAAGGCTGATTTTCCGCATATATTCCCTCACTCGCGGCAAAAATTGCATAAGCCTTGATCGGTGGAAAGAATATGTCGGAACGATTTCAGTTTTCGCTGAGAATAATCGTGTCAAGTGGATTTTGTTTATTGCAGGGGTATCAATATTTTGTAGAATTCTTAAAGTAAAGTATGGCCACATCTCAGACATTTTAACGAAACCAAGTGGACAAAAGATTATCACGGCGAACAATACAAGATTGAGACATTTCATTTATTTCCCTGGTTTTACAGCCGCAAGAAAATTGAGTTTCTGAACGAAAAATTGCTTTTATTCCCCTTGTTAAATTATTATAAATATTTCCGGGGAAATTGAAAAAAAAAGCAAAACAAAGCTTGCTGTAGCAGACACCTGGTGTGACGTCATAACCTACTTATTGTCTACGCCATAGTGAGAGCCGTTTCGCGTTGTTTTACCAAACAGTAAAATGAAGGCAACTTATTGGCAGGCAACGTAAGTTACACTGTACTACGGCAACGTTGGTTTTGTTCTAATTTACAGTATACTATAATTCTATCCTATAGGAGCATGTTTAGCTGATGAAGAATGAGACATGTAGGAGAATGTGGGCAAGACTACCCAGACATCTATTCTATTTGGCAGTTATTTTCGCAACCTGCTGGCAAGGAACAGTTGCATTAGGTTAGTATTGAATCAGCCGATGTACCCGGGAGGGACTCCCTTTTCCCGAACTACAATTTTCGACAGGTTTTATCATTTATACGTCCTGGCCAGTGGAGAGAGTAACTGTGAGAGTTTGTCTTGCCTAGCTAGAAATGGATTTCACGACGGTTTATCCTTAGGGAAACATTCCAATCTCTAGAGCATTAATCTGTTTGTGTCGTTTTTAACCATGGGTTAAACAAGTTGACTGTTACATGTGGAAGCTTCTGTCACTCGATCATTTGCCCATTTATTTATGCTACGTAGGAAAGTAATAACATGGACTGTTCAACAACACAATACGAAAAGTGCGTTATTTTTAATGTTCATTGCTTGTTTTTGTTACCTTAACGGACATGCAGTGCGCATACGCCCTGGCCTGAAACGAATTTGTTGAAAGTAGCGTCTTCATGTGTTTTAGCCTTTAAAGCTAAGTGTGAGTAGCGGAAAATTTATCTTCACATTGCGCAACCTGTGAGGATTTAATTGAGAAAGGAATAAAAACACACACAAAAAAAGAAAGTATGTTTTGAAATATTCTACAGACATATTCCAATTAGGAGCCTTCTACTGAGATAGATTTAAGGGCCACACATCCCTGCAACCTCTAATGGTCCATTTCCTGTTGTAAATAATTAACAATTATTGGACGAAGTTGGGCAAAATATCATGATTTGTCAGTGGCCTGGCGAGCAGTTCAATAATCTGCCGAAGTCGAAGGCTGAGACAAATAATCAATCTGCGAGACACTGACAAATCATGATATCTGCGATAATAATTTTTTTATCATTCGATCGTAAATCACTCCCTGACAGCTTAAGAAAACGATCTGCCATTTTTCACACAATTACGCATGAGCAGAATATTATTTGCAGCAAAACACATTTAGACGGTACTACACTTTAGCAGCCCATTATCTGTAGGCAGATATTTGCGGGTCACGTGATAGGCCCTTGACATAAAAAATGCATCAAATGATAATAACTGTTATTTACTTTTTCATTTCTTGTTGTGTCTACAGTTAAACGCGAAACAGAAGAGTTCCGCCTTCTGAGGAACTTGTTTAAAGACTACGACAAAGAAGTGAGGCCAGTCTACAACACGAGCGACGTTGTCAATGTTAATTTCAGTTTGAGCTTGATTCAGATTATTTCAGTGGTAAGTTGATCTGACAATCTGACGAAACGTTTGATAATTTTGGCCGAGCTCGAGAGGATATAAAATATGATAAATTCAACAATACAGGCGTGTGAAAAAAACTGAAAACAAAACAACAGCCACAGCAACAGCCCAGTTATCATAAACTGTTACTATATTTTAAATTTTAGCCCAAGGAAACAGATATGCGGATATTACGGTTTTTAGTAGTGAGCACTTAATGTGTTCTTCTGAGAATTTCTGAACCCAATTGGTTTATGGTTTGATGTTTATTCTCCGACAGAATGCGATTCCCCGCGTGTTGCCATTATTTTGGCATAACTATACTCAAGATTTCTTGTTTTTAAACTGCTTTCCTCTCTAACGCCTACTAAAATAGTGCGAATCAACTAGGTAACGTCTTGTTGACTATTCGTTCATAAAAAAGCTTGGGCTTCTTGTTCTCGACTGTAATAGTGATGCACGAACTACTGCTGCCAAACGCGCGGCAAAGTTTCAGGCTCTCGTATGGGTTCCATTTTAGGTTCCCCTTGGGGCATGAAAATCTTAGTGTGCTGATAAAAAATATTTTCAAAAAACTTTCTTTGTTTCAAGAATGTCTTTCAGATTTTCCTATCTCGGCAAACGTAGATTTTAGGCTTTATTTAAAATAGAAAAAATAATAAATTGCTGGTGAAACCTACATTTAAGTTAAAAAGCCTAACTGTTTAAGACGCCGACATACTAATTTGTCTTTCTAGAACAGCAAGTCTCAACTTCTGACGTTGAACGTTTGGATTCGGCAGGTATTGCTTTATTTTCTCGGGGTGTCTTTATCATAGCATGAATTGAAATAAAAATGGAGGTGATCTTATCGNTTTTTTTTCTTTTGTTTGTTTGGAATTTTGCGCACCGGGAAAATCAAAGAGTTTAGCTACAAAATACCTGAGCAAATAGATATTCCATTACAATAACATTTCCATTCTTTGTTTGCATTTGGCGATCTAACACCGAGTTGTTTAAACAATTTCAGGTCATTATGTAATTTACGTGCTTACTTTTACAGTTACGAAAAGCTTTCTGAGGAAATTAATTAGAAAAAACTCCGCTTAAGACTTGATTCACGTGCACGAATTAGTGGTTTTATTGTTGTAGTGGTTTTAACTTAAAACGCGTCTTTCATTTCTTTCCGAGAATTCTCAAAGGAGCTTCACGCACAATTCTAGCTAGGCTGGACGCTCGACCTATTGACGGGTATCAAAACTCATTTTACAATTCGTTGCGTAATTCCTAATTCGACATCAATAAAACCTTGATCATTCATTGGTAATTAGGTATATCAAAGATCTAAGCAAACCACGACAACAGCTATTACTAGGACCTTGCTAAAAGAGGCTTAACTGACCATAATGACATGCGTAAGAAATTACAGATTGTACGTGAATCCGATGGCAAATAGCTTCCTTAAAACTTGAATTCTGAAGAACTTATGAATAGCAAAGTTAAGAAATTAGAAAATGGATTGCAGTGACCTAATTTGAGACTTGTAGCTGTCTTAGAAAGCGTCCAGTTGCGTTTTTAATTTTCCATGCACTTGTCTATAATATTTTCTGCGAACAAGCTCGTGCCACAGAAAAGAAATTCTAAACAAATGTATGGAAGACTCAAAACGCGACTGGACTCTTTCAAACACTGCTCCACCTCTCAAATTTGGTCAGTGAAATTTTTAGCTAGTATTTTAACTCTGCCATTCATAAATTCTTCAAAATTCTATTTTTGAGAAAATTATTTGCCATCGCGTACCCATACAAACATTGTAATATCCGTGTTCCTTACCACCCGTCAAGATGGCTTCCAAAACAGTACGTAATAAGGTCCATGCCAGAATAGTGTAATTTCAATAATCGTGATCATAACTGCTAAATCAATTTAAATTTTCTCTTCCATTACTCCACATTACAACATATCCGCTTTTCCATTTGTGTCATGCTGTGAAATTCAGACGATTCACGGAAAATAATTTGTAAGTTTATTTCGGCTTCCTTTCATACGATGGGCAGGAAGAAGAATATTAAACAGCCAAACATTAATAAACAATGTTATATCTTTATTTCTTTCTTTTTTTTTTTCAAAAGGAACTTCACGGCGAGATTTTGCAGTCTATACCTAAAGGACGAAATTTAAAAGCGAATAAATTTTAAGACAGGCTCTGAGTTGCATTCAAATGTAATCTGTGAAACGGTCCTACACATTCTCAAAATTTAATCGGAGAGATATTGTTAAGAAGGTAATTCAAATGAAAACTTAGAAACTCCTTCTGTCAAAATACCCTCAAAACCATGTATGCGTAACAACTTCGAATTATCGGAAATAACAAAATCAATATGTGTAAATATTCACTGAATACGATTAAAAAAGATCTTGTACAACAAACGCAAGTAGTAGCTTTTAACTGAAAAGAGCTTTGTTTACATTTTTTCTTCGCTTGTTTTCTATTACTTGACAGCGGTTTTGAGCCACCTGTTTATTTGTGAGTGGTTAAATTGGCTTTTCTATGCATGTGGGACTTCCCACGGTTAGAACCAAGCTGTCTCTGGAAATTTCATTCGAACTTCATGCTGTAAAGTAATCAGCGCTTAGGTTTTGTCGAGAACTAAAGTCATTTGATGTCTTGGAAAAATTTCTATCGGCGTTTTTTTTGATTCGCCGAGCTTGTGCTTTTGACACTCGAGGAGAAAAGCGTCTCTTGCCAGAAGCGATCTCCAGGATTCCCTGTTCTGTCAAAATAAGAAGTAAACATATTTGGACCACTGGATTTAACAGACGCCTTCGTAAGGTGAGATTTCACGGAATGTCATTTCAATTTTGCCTTGTTTACCAAACTTAAGGTAGCTCGAAATCACGAACCTGGACTGAAATGGATGTGCCTGAATCGAGCAGTAATTACTTCTCTCCACTGAAATAAAGCAACTGCAATTGAACAAATAAAACGAACTTTCGTCTAAATCGATTACAATTGCCTTAGCTAGAGTTAATTGTTTTGCAATATTGCGTGGACTGAAATTGTTTTTCATGAAAAATGGTCAGATATCAATACTAAGATTTAAATTACAAAGCTTGCAGTGTCCCGTACTAATGTAAATGATATTATCTTCAACCTGTTTGCTTTAAATAAACAGATAATTTCAAAGTCATGTTACCGGTAAAAAAAAAGTCAATTTCCAACTACTTCTTTAGTGAAAACTGAAGTGTTTTTGACCACATGTTTTAAGACTTCTCCTTTAATTAATTTTAGCGTAGTGACTTCATAACTCGTATATTTGAAGACCAAGGGAAAATGGTTGTTTTTGTTCAAGTTTTTTTAATGAGTTACTGCCAAGTTTACTAAATGATTACAATTCAATTTGTCGACTTCCTTTTGTAGAATTAATCGATCAATACCAACATTCGATTCGAATTATTATGACTATTGGCAACAAAATATAACACCCGTGAGAAAAGCCGACCAGGTTAACTTTCACGTTTTAAGTTAATTTCGTAAATAAAGAAATTACAAACATGTCAATATAATATTTTCAGCTTACACTTAATGTATAATTTGTTACTCTGAACAGCTGTTGCAGACTCTTCAGCTTTAAATAAATCGAAATAAATCTACTGCTATCTCTGAACATCTTCAAAGAGGAGTACAGTATCACTCATGTCGATTTCAAGCACATTCCAAATTTCTTACAAATTTAAGACAGTTTAATTCGAAAAGTACCTGTTGGATTTTTACGTAAAGGCGTGGACGTATTTGAAACAGTTTCTTCCGTGACAAGGAAATCAAATGTTCCTTTTGGATTAAAGACAAAACATGTAAAAATTAACTCACTATTTACACAAATCTACTGCGACTGAAATAACTGACATATCGTGCTAAAGCAATATGAAAGGGACAAAAGTTAGTAATAATTTCAAAGCAAAATCTCTTTTCTGAGTATCGATGCTCGTTATCAACGCTGGGGAAAAATAAATAACAAGTCCTTCATCCACCATGACGTAAGAGTATTATCCGTCTGCCTTCGAGAACTACTTTCTTTACTTTCTGGCATAAGATTAACCGTCAAAATGTTGATTACTATTTAGTCTGTATCGACAGGAAACTAAATATGTGCTTTCAACTAAATCAGTTTGGCGAGACACCCCATTAAGTGTAATTTCTCAAGAGTAATTTCTAGGTTATCGGTGGTATATTGTCTGATTTCACTCACTTATATTGGTTAACCGCAATGAGCCACAACGAGAAAAGACGACCAATATTCTGAAACGATGGATTAACCTTGACTCTAGTAGACTTATTAACTTGATGTTTACTTCGTGTTATCCTATGTTATTTTTATATCAGACTTGCAAGGCTGATTTTCCGCATATATTCCCTCACTCGCGGCAAAAATTGCATAAGCCTTGATCGGTGGAAAGAATATGTCGGAACGATTTCAGTTTTCGCTGAGAATAATCGTGTCAAGTGGATTTTGTTTATTGCAGGGGTATCAATATTTTGTAGAATTCTTAAAGTAAAGTATGGCCACATCTCAGACATTTTAACGAAACCAAGTGGACAAAAGATTATCACGGCGAACAATACAAGATTGAGACATTTCATTTATTTCCCTGGTTTTACAGCCGCAAGAAAATTGAGTTTCTGAACGAAAAATTGCTTTTATTCCCCTTGTTAAATTATTATAAATATTTCCGGGGAAATTGAAAAAAAAAGCAAAACAAAGCTTGCTGTAGCAGACACCTGGTGTGACGTCATAACCTACTTATTGTCTACGCCATAGTGAGAGCCGTTTCGCGTTGTTTTACCAAACAGTAAAATGAAGGCAACTTATTGGCAGGCAACGTAAGTTACACTGTACTACGGCAACGTTGGTTTTGTTCTAATTTACAGTATACTATAATTCTATCCTATAGGAGCATGTTTAGCTGATGAAGAATGAGACATGTAGGAGAATGTGGGCAAGACTACCCAGACATCTATTCTATTTGGCAGTTATTTTCGCAACCTGCTGGCAAGGAACAGTTGCATTAGGTTAGTATTGAATCAGCCGATGTACCCGGGAGGGACTCCCTTTTCCCGAACTACAATTTTCGACAGGTTTTATCATTTATACGTCCTGGCCAGTGGAGAGAGTAACTGTGAGAGTTTGTCTTGCCTAGCTAGAAATGGATTTCACGACGGTTTATCCTTAGGGAAACATTCCAATCTCTAGAGCATTAATCTGTTTGTGTCGTTTTTAACCATGGGTTAAACAAGTTGACTGTTACATGTGGAAGCTTCTGTCACTCGATCATTTGCCCATTTATTTATGCTACGTAGGAAAGTAATAACATGGACTGTTCAACAACACAATACGAAAAGTGCGTTATTTTTAATGTTCATTGCTTGTTTTTGTTACCTTAACGGACATGCAGTGCGCATACGCCCTGGCCTGAAACGAATTTGTTGAAAGTAGCGTCTTCATGTGTTTTAGCCTTTAAAGCTAAGTGTGAGTAGCGGAAAATTTATCTTCACATTGCGCAACCTGTGAGGATTTAATTGAGAAAGGAATAAAAACACACACAAAAAAAGAAAGTATGTTTTGAAATATTCTACAGACATATTCCAATTAGGAGCCTTCTACTGAGATAGATTTAAGGGCCACACATCCCTGCAACCTCTAATGGTCCATTTCCTGTTGTAAATAATTAACAATTATTGGACGAAGTTGGGCAAAATATCATGATTTGTCAGTGGCCTGGCGAGCAGTTCAATAATCTGCCGAAGTCGAAGGCTGAGACAAATAATCAATCTGCGAGACACTGACAAATCATGATATCTGCGATAATAATTTTTTTATCATTCGATCGTAAATCACTCCCTGACAGCTTAAGAAAACGATCTGCCATTTTTCACACAATTACGCATGAGCAGAATATTATTTGCAGCAAAACACATTTAGACGGTACTACACTTTAGCAGCCCATTATCTGTAGGCAGATATTTGCGGGTCACGTGATAGGCCCTTGACATAAAAAATGCATCAAATGATAATAACTGTTATTTACTTTTTCATTTCTTGTTGTGTCTACAGTTAAACGCGAAACAGAAGAGTTCCGCCTTCTGAGGAACTTGTTTAAAGACTACGACAAAGAAGTGAGGCCAGTCTACAACACGAGCGACGTTGTCAATGTTAATTTCAGTTTGAGCTTGATTCAGATTATTTCAGTGGTAAGTTGATCTGACAATCTGACGAAACGTTTGATAATTTTGGCCGAGCTCGAGAGGATATAAAATATGATAAATTCAACAATACAGGCGTGTGAAAAAAACTGAAAACAAAACAACAGCCACAGCAACAGCCCAGTTATCATAAACTGTTACTATATTTTAAATTTTAGCCCAAGGAAACAGATATGCGGATATTACGGTTTTTAGTAGTGAGCACTTAATGTGTTCTTCTGAGAATTTCTGAACCCAATTGGTTTATGGTTTGATGTTTATTCTCCGACAGAATGCGATTCCCCGCGTGTTGCCATTATTTTGGCATAACTATACTCAAGATTTCTTGTTTTTAAACTGCTTTCCTCTCTAACGCCTACTAAAATAGTGCGAATCAACTAGGTAACGTCTTGTTGACTATTCGTTCATAAAAAAGCTTGGGCTTCTTGTTCTCGACTGTAATAGTGATGCACGAACTACTGCTGCCAAACGCGCGGCAAAGTTTCAGGCTCTCGTATGGGTTCCATTTTAGGTTCCCCTTGGGGCATGAAAATCTTAGTGTGCTGATAAAAAATATTTTCAAAAAACTTTCTTTGTTTCAAGAATGTCTTTCAGATTTTCCTATCTCGGCAAACGTAGATTTTAGGCTTTATTTAAAATAGAAAAAATAATAAATTGCTGGTGAAACCTACATTTAAGTTAAAAAGCCTAACTGTTTAAGACGCCGACATACTAATTTGTCTTTCTAGAACAGCAAGTCTCAACTTCTGACGTTGAACGTTTGGATTCGGCAGGTATTGCTTTATTTTCTCGGGGTGTCTTTATCATAGCATGAATTGAAATAAAAA